GGATAGGAGATTAGGGATGAACTCTAGGGTTCACCTCATCTTCAAGCATCATTTCATGAGTGAGGAGGGAACCAATTAGCTCTTCAAGAGTTAAGGATTTTAGGTTCTTAGCCTCGATGATTGCCGTCTTCTTTGATTGCCAAAATTTTGGATGTGAGTAAACTAACTTCCTCACAAGCTTTTCGTTTGGAATGATCTCTCCATATGATTTGAGACCATTGACAATCAATGAGAATTTATCTGTCATAGCTTTGATATCTTCATTTGGTTTCATCCTGAAATTTTCATAGCTATGTGTTAGAAGACTAATTTTATATTCTTTTACCTTGTCCGTGCCTTCATGAGTGACTTGTAGTTTTCCATATTTTTTTGGTAGTTGTACAAGATGAAACTCTTCCGTATTCATCTGGTCCAAGAACACAAAATATGATATGGATGGCTTTGGAGTTGAGCTGGAACATTTTTGTCTCTCTTTCACTCCACAATCTTGGATGAGTGAGAGGCTTGATATATCCGTCTTCTACAAAATTCCATACTCCTATGTCACTTGCTTGAATGAAATACATCATCCTATTCTTTCAATAGGCATAATTAGCTCCATTGAAGAAAAGGGTTGTTGACGGACATCGAATCGAGACCGGAGTCGAATTTAGAAGTGGAGGCCATTGATGACTTGATTATCGATGTAACTCTTCCCGAATCGACTCAAGAGGCGATTAAACCTTCAAATGAGTGAGGCTTTGATACCAATTGTTGAGTTAATCGATCGATGGAATCGACCAAGAGGGGGGTGAATTGGCAATTAAAAATCGGTGGAAGCTTTTGCAGAAAATTGAAAAGTTTTGTACAACGATTTAGAGTGGTTCGACTTTCTTAACCAAAGTCTATGTCCACTACCTTAGCTATCCACACTAAGGATTTTCCAACAAATTCACTAATTTTTTCTTTCTTTTGAGGCCAAAGAGATAATATTACAATTCCCTCAAGAATATACCCCAATTCTTGAGAACACTTTTTCTCAAAAAGAAGATTACAAATTTGCAAACTTAATGAAAAACCTCACAAGGTAAATGTGTTTGCACAATTCCAGAACAAAGAAAAGAACATTCAAGAATGAATACAATTGAGTACAAGTAGTGTTCTTGAAAGCAAAATGAATATTGAATGAAAAATAGGATTGAAATGCTCAAACTTGAGGTTTGATCCTTTCTCTTTGATTTTCTCTTAACTCTTGATTCTTGTTATTTCTTGTTGTTGATCAATGGCTTCTAATCTTGTTTAAATACTCCTTCAATTGATTTTGAACATTGGGGATGATTAGTGGAGTCAATAGAGCTGTTTAAGTGTGAAAACAATTAATAAAACAGTTGGGAGCGTCTGGTGCATCGATGCATAAGGCTAGTGCATCGGTACACTATGTGTAAAATTCAAATATTTTGACCGTTGGACCCTTAGTGCATCGGTGCACTAAGAGTGCACCGATGCATGAAGTGCATTCGATGTTTCAAAATAGCCTGAGTGCATCGATGCATAAAATGCATTCGATGTTTTCATAAAAACCTGAGTGCATCGATGTATAAAATGCATTCGATGTTCAATTTATTCAATGGTGCATCGATGCATGGATTGGTGCATCGGTACACTCTTTTGAAAAATTAATTTTAGGCTTGTTTTTTGTACGAAATACTTTGTGAAAATTGTTTCAAATTTTTTTAAGATTAAAACACAATTTTACACTTTAGTAAGGATTGAATTTGATCTTTGAAAGACTTGGAGTAATATTTTGATATTCGAGTAATTAAATCAAATATGCTTAAAAATCATTTGTAAAATCTTAAAATCCATTTATACTTAATTTGTTATATCAAAACATCAAAATGTTTTCAATAATCTCCCCCTTTTTGATATAACAAAACATTTGAGTAATTTTAAGATTTTCTTTGAACATAATTTTTGTAAACAATTTTGAAAATTTAATTTACTTCCCTTACTATATTCTCCCCCTTACTATATTCTCCCCCTTTTTGTTAAATCAAAAAGACTCTAAACGTTTCTAAACAAGGCTTTGAAAACTTAGCCAATTGATTTATTAATTGAAAGATTAAGCTGCTAAGATCATAATCGAAAGAGATATTAGCCATTAGTCCCATCAATATTCATAATAAAAATGTGAAATGGTAAAAATTATCATAATGCAGCTAATATGCAAATGATGCAAAAATTAATAATCATTAAGCTCAAAAAGAAAACCAAACCAAATATATATATAATAAGTTCAAATATCCAAAGCAACCAAAATATAAATCCAAACAAATTCAAACTTCCAACAAACAAAGTAAAAACAATCTATAAAGCATTCAAAATGTTTTAACAAGAAAAGTTCTAAGTTGGTCCAAAACAAAAACAAAGCAAGGTGTACTCGTCCATAGAAGGATCGGGAGGAGGAGGAAATCGTGCTTGCATCTCAAGTGTAAGAGCATCCATATGTGCAAGCATCTCCCTTTGAAACTCCATTTGTTGAGCTTCCAAAGTGTCTAAGCGATGATTCACCGCTTCGTTGTTTGCAGTTAAATGGGTTTCGATGGAAGCAAACCGTAGATCAAATGTCTCCAAAAACGAATGAAAATATGGAGGCACTTGATCCTCTTGTTGTGCCGGTGCATTGTCTGGATCGTCAATATCTTGAAATAGCCCTTGAAGCTCGGGATCATCGTCTGCAACCGGTGCCAGTGGAGGTTGAGTACGAGAGGAGCTAGGAGCAGGAGGTGCTCGTGAAGAACTCGCTCCCGGAGTTTGCTTAGAGGGTCGATAAACCCATTGATCAGTTTCCTCATCCTGTTTCCAATCAGCTTTCATCAAGGAGGTGAGATTGATTTGGTTTTGAAGAGGAATGAGATTGTCAAGAGAGACTTTAAGACTGAGTTTGATAAAAAGATTACTCAGTAGACACCCATAAAGTAAAGTTTTGACATGTTTAGAAGGGACATCATTTATGGTATCTACTAGTTCACTGAAAATGATTTTTGGAAAATTGATTTTTCTATTATGTTGGAAACAATACATCCACAATAAATCCCTAATACAAGAGTGGAGTACCTACCTCCGGATGGTCTAAACCACCAAGAGATCATCAAATGGAGAAATCGATCATGATGAGATCGTAGAGTACTAACACTAGCGTTAGGAAGATAGGGATATGCCACAGTTTCTTTTTCATTGTATAGACCATTGTCATCTAGCCCAAATTGCCTAGCGATAGACTCGGAGTCAATATGAATATATTGTCCTAAATGATAGGATCTAATTCCTATAGTCCCACATTGAGTCTGGTTTTGAATACATACCACATTAGAGTAGAAAATGCGGACTAACTGATGATAGACAATTGGTTTAAGGTGAAATAGTTTATCAAACTTCCAGGACTTGAGAGTCGGTAGGTATTGAAAGTTGATGTCTACCATGGCTTGAACAGAGGGAATACATTCTTCCCGGATTTTGTAAGATTGGAAGGAGTTCATATACCTATGGTAGAGTTCATCCCTACGACGCTCATGCATATTAAAACAGGAACTTATAATGTTCATGTTTTGGTCATTTGGGTTTGGATTTTGAGGTTGAGGAGGAATATGATTAAGGGGTCGGTTAGAATGAATCGAAGAGGACCTAGGGCATTTTGGGTTTGACATGATTTATGAAACGGAATTAGAAAAGTAACCTGCAATTTTGAAACACATGTATGCAAAATAATCAATCCCAAAACTCAATTGAGTCTGCAATAATTCAAGATTTTCTAAACCGAATCCCAATGGGCATGATTTTGAAAACTATTTGAAAATAACATTAGAAATATCATAATACATATAGTTTTCATGAAAACAATATAATTAAATCAAAAACAATAATTTTCAAAAATATCATTTTTTTATTTCGAAAATTCAAAGACAATGTTGAAAAATTCAAAGACAATGTTGAAAAATTGTTTGTTTTTGACGAAATTGATTGTAAAATCTAATTTAGAATCATAATATACTCAATGACCGATATAATGTTCATCCCAGAACTAATCAAAACTAGTTCTAAGTTCAAAAATCAATAAAACAAAGGTTTTGAAATATTACCTTGAAAATTTCGGATTGAGAGGAATGTGATGTTGTTTTGAACGATTTGATGATAAAATAAGGATTAGGAGATGAAGAACGATTAAAATCCATCAAAATTACGTTGATTTAAAGCGAAAGGAGAGATTAGAGAGAGAGAGGGTGAATGGCGGTTTTGAGAGTTTTTTAAGGGTTTGAGAAAATAAAGAGAAAAACAGGGTTTTTATCCAAAAACCCAATGGATGCAACGATGCATGGCCTTGTGCATCGATGCACATTCAATGAGTGCATCGGTGCACCTTTATGGTGTATCGATGCACATTCAAAGGGATGCATCGATGCACTGTTCAGTGTATCGATGTATTAAGCACAAAAATGTCAAGAATCCATTTTAAACATTCAAAATGCTAAATTAATAAGCTCTAGTTGTAACACCCCAACCCGTACCCGACCTAGATACGAGTCCGAGATGTCACATTGATATTTCAAAACCTTTATTCTTGTAAAATAACTGAACATTTGAATTTATATTAAGCAAATACGATCTTATATTGTTCAATTGTGTTTGGTATAAAATTTTGAGATAAAAACGTATTTATGAACAATGAAATACGATATGAACAGTACCATGAACAGTAATGAACAGTGCTACAGTGCATCGATGCACCAAAATTTCAAAGCAAAATTGTGCATCGATGCACTGCTATAGTACTGCTACAATGACTTTCGTAAAACGTTCATAAAACTCGTAAAAATTTAATTGTTCATTACTATACAATTGTCATTTACATAAACACGTTTAAAACATTACAAAACTCAATCGTATGACTTTTCAAAACCGATTAAAACATATCAGATTTATCCTTTATTTACATGCCAACCACTTTCCTTATTATAAAATACATACTATACATTTCTTTTCTGATCTGATCTTTTGAAAGGAGAACTGACCTGTCTTGCTTAGCTTTTATCATTCTTCATGTTTCATTCCCTTTCATATTCTTAACTCAAATATACACACTTAAACTAATTTATATCTATTTATTTCATCTTAAACCTCAAAATTATATTCTCCATATAGAAATCAATAATCATACCAAATTTTCCATGTTATCCAAACTTAATTCTAACACTTCTAACTTCTTATTCTCATAGATGACAAGTCAAATTCAACTTATCAACTCTTTTCCATAAATTCTCTTAAAACCCCATTTTCTTTAATCTATCATAACTCATTTATCTTTTGATTTTAAGATAACTTAAGCTTTCCTTAAGCTTAGTTATCATCTAATGATCAAAACCCAAGCTTTAAATCAACAAATAATCAACAAGTTCGAAAACTTACCTTTGCAAGCTCGGCTCTCTCTTTCTCTCGTATGATGAAGAAGAAGAAGATGAAGTGGAGAAAATATCTCTCATCCTTATCTCACATGCCTATATATCATTTATTTATCATTTCAATGTCAAATAACCATTTTGCCCTTTCATTCTTTTAATAATTACTAACTTTCCGGAAATATCACCACATAAATCATTGAACTATTCAACTATTCTACTTTTATCCCTAAATTCTAAAATTTTACAATTTAGTCACTAACCCGGTATTGAGGATGTTACAAATCTCCCCTCATTTTAAGAAAATTCGTCCTCGAATTTTCATTGTACATACAATAAGAACATATCTTTTAATGTTCTTATGTTGCTTTCACAACTTACTATTTCCTTCTTTTAGTTCTTTAACTAAATTTTTCCTTTATTCATTCATCAACTGTCACTTATCATATAAACAGTAACCAGTAATCTCATCCATTTTTTTCTCTCCTGTGATTCTGCATTTTCCTTTGATCTTTCTAAAATTCATACAATGTTACTCATCACGTAGACAATAACATCCATTCTCATCACTCTATATCATAAATCAATCTATTTCTTCATTAATCTCCAATTACCTTATCACAATACCAACCTTTTATTCCATTATCATTTGACCAAAACATGACTTTAAATCTTCTTCAATTGTGATTAAACATATACTTTATGGAATTCAACAATCTTTTCACTTCACCTTGCACACTTTTCGTATTTCTATATCGAACTTATCATTTACACTTCCATATAACATTTATCATTCTTAACCCTTTAATTTCCTTTTTCCATTTAATTTCCTTATCCCTTTACTCTTCCATAAATCAAAATATCCTTGTAACATATATCATATATTTTCTTCAGACTCTCATACTCTTTTCACATCGCTTATATTTATCACTGATTATCGATCTTCATCACATCTTCGTAACTTTGATAATCCACTTTACTTATATGGAACCTCTTCCTTTACTATCTGTTGTATTTTTGTTCCTCAAAGCTCCCTTTAAAACCTGTAAATATTCTTCTCATTGCCTTAATCATATATATAAGATCCAAATACATAACCATATTCAAATCCATATCATACTTGATTAACTCACTTTATCTTTTCTTCCAGTCTTGTAACTCCATCACCTTTACTCTTACGGATAGTCAATAACAATTGTTTAATTTAGGGCACAAACCCTAATTAATCAATCATATGCATCCACCCTTTCATCATTTCTTAATCATTGTTTGTACTTTAATACACATGATCTTTCCATATTACTTTATACTTCTCTTTTAATCCTTACTTTCCCTCAAACATAAGAATCGTTATTTCCTTCACTATATCACATTCATATGATCAAAACATTTTTCATCACGTAATCTTGTTAGCCAATTCTAACTCTTTATTCTAGAGTACAAGCCCTTATCATATCCACACTCTTGCTTATATACAGTACTATCCCTTTATTTCAAATCCATAACTCTGATTTCATTCATCTTATAAATATATCTCTGATGCACTTATTCTTGAACTCTTCTACAATTCTAACCACCTCATTTGATCTTTTAACGTTCTTATGGTGACATTCGTTCACCATATTCTATCTTATCCACGTAATAATGAAACTTCTCAATTTAACTTCTTCACTTTGAAGAAATGAAAACCTTTTAACATTATCTTCATATCGTTTATCAGAATGTCTGTAACAACAGAACCTTCATCAAATTCACCCTTGAGCTCGGGTTCTCATAACTCTTTTAACTATTTCGATACATTCATTCTATGAGTTAACGAAGTATACAATTGAAAACACATCGGATTTAATCCTTTATTTACATGCCAACCACTTTTCTTATTACAAAATACATACTATACATTTCTTTTATGATCTGATCTTTGGAAAGGAGAACTAACCTGTCTTGCTTAGCTTTTATCATTCTTCATGTTTCATTCCCTTTCATATTCTTAACTCAAATATACATACTTAAACTAATTCATATCCATTTATTTCATCTTAAACCTCAAAATTATATTCTCCATATAGAAATCAATAATCATACCAAATTTTCCATGTTATCTAAACTTAATTCTAACACTTGTAACTTTTTATTCTCATAGATGACAAATCAAATTCAACTTCAAATTCAACTTATCAACTCTTTTCCATAAATTCTCTTAAAAACCATTTTCTTTAATCTATCATAACTCCTTTATCTTTTGATTTTAAGATAACTTAAGCTTTCCTTAAGCTTAGTTATCATATAATGATCAAAACCCAAGCTTTAAATCAACAAATTCGAAAACTTACCTTTGCAAGCTTGGCTTTATCTTTCTCTCGTATGATGATGAAGAAGAAGATGAAGTAGAGAAAATATCTCCTCATCCTTATCCCACATGCCTATATATCATTTATTTATCATTTTAATGTCAAATGACCATTTTACCCTTTTATTCTTTTAATAATTACTAACAACTTTCCAGAAATATCACCACATAAATCATTGAACTATTCAACTATTCTACTTTTATCCCCAAATTCTTAAATTTTACAATTTAGTCACTAAACCGGTATTGAGGATGTTACAATAGTGGTATTTGGCAACTCATATATTGAAAATTAATCATGTTCAATCAATCAATTTAATCCTTAAACTACATTTGAACATAAAATTAATTTTCACTACGAATCATAAACTCCCCTAACTAATAGCAAAGAATGCAATCAAATATTATTATTATTATAAGCATTTTTCATTTATTCTTAAGAGTGCTAAAATTAATTTAAACACTAAGTGAAGATAGGTCAGTTAAACGTAATTCTCTCCTAAGTGTCCAAAATCTTTCTTTGTCTTTTGTAAAGATATCTGCTAATTGATGCAAAGTATCAACAAATTCTAGAACTACATCTTCCTTAGAGACATGGTCTCTAATGAAGTGATGTTTAATTTCAATATGTTTAGTTCTAGAGTGTTGGATGTGATTTTTAGTGAGACAAATAGAACTAGTATTGTCACACTTGATATGAATGGTACCTACTTCAATTTCATAATCAAAAAGTTGTTATTTCATCTATAAAACTTGTGCACAACAACTACCAGCTGAAATATATTCTACTTCAGTGGTAGCTAATGCAACACAATTTTGTTTATTTGAAAACCAAGAAATCAACATATTTCCAAGGAATTGGTAAGTTCCAGAGGTACTTTTCCTAACTAATTTGCATCCTCCATAATTCGCATCAGAGAAGGCATGCAAGCTAAAGCTAGAGTCTCTAGGATACCAAAGTCCTAAACTAGGAGTGTCCTTAAGGTATCTAAAGATTCTCTTAACAGCTAGTAAATATGATTCCTTAGGACATGGTTGAAATCTAGCACATAAGCAAACACTAAACATAATGTCTGGTCTACTTGCGGTTAAATAAAGCAAAGAGCCAATCATTGACCTATATAATTTAACATCCACACATTTACCTCCTTCATCTATGTCAAGCTTTGTTCATGAGCTCATTGGAGTGTTATGAGGTTTCCCATTTTCTAGTCCAAACTTCTTGAGCTTATCTTTGACGTACTTAGCTTGATTGATGAAGATGCCATCTTTTCTTTGCTTGATTTGGAGTCCCAAGAAAAATGAGAGCTCCCCCATCATGCTCATCTTGAATTCACTTTGCATTAGCTTAGAAAATTCTTGGCAAAGAACATTATTAGTAGAACCAAAAATTATATCATCAACATAAATTTGAGCTACTAATAAATCTTTACCTTTATGCTTTAAAAACAATGTAGTGTCAACCTTCCCTTTTGAAAAACCTTTTTCAATTAAAAAAATTTGACAATCTTTCATACCAAGCTCTAGGAGCTTGTTTTAAACCATAAAGCACTTTTGTCAATTTAAGAACATGATTTGGAAATTTTAAATCTTCAAAACCAGGAGGTTATTCCAAATACACTTCTTATTTTATAAAACCATTTAACAATGCACTTTTAACATCCATTTGATATAATTTAAATTCATGAAAACATGCAAATGCTAATAACATTCTAATTGCTTCCATCCTAGCTACATGAGCGTATGTTTCATCATAGTCTATGCCCTATTCTTGAGTGTACCCTTGAGAAACAAGTCTAGCCTTGTGTCTCACTATATTACCACTTTCATCAAGCTTATTCCTAAATACCCATCTAGTACCTACAATAGATTTATTACTAGGCCTTTCAACTAATGTCCATACTTTACTTCTCTGAAATTGATTTAACACTTCTTATATATCCATAATCCAATGTTCATCATTTAATGCTTCTTTAATATTCTTAGGCTCTATGCATGAGGTAAATGCAACATAATTACAAATATTTCTAAGAGAAGATCGAGTTGTTACCCCTTTGGATGGATCACCTATTATTTCACCATCATTGACATAGTTGTACTCTCTTGGGTAAGATACTTCCCTTTCTTTAATGGTTGGATTATCAAGAGGATCATGAGTTTCCTCATCTTTCTTTTCTTCCTTTGATGATGGTTCTCCAATGTCATGTCTAACGTCATTTGTATTTATAATACCTACATCATCATTCAAACAAGAATACTTCCTCAGAAGGGGATTATCATCGAAAACAACATGTACAGACTCTTCTACAACTAAAGTTCTTTTATTAAATACTCGATAAGCTTTAGAATTTAAGGAATAACCCAAAAAAATTCCTTCATCACTTTTAGCATCAAATTTGCTAAGGTTTTCTTTACCATTGTTTAAAGCAAAACATTTACATCCAAAAGGATGAAAATATCTAATGTTAGGCTTTTTATTTTTGAAAATTTCATATGGAGCTTTCTTTAAAATTTGGCTAATCATTACTCGATTTACAACATAACAAGTGGTATTTGTGGCTTCCGCCCAAAAATATTTTGGCAAATTATTTTCACAAAGCATGGTTCTAGCCATTTCCTCTAAAGTTCGATTTTTCCTCTTAACAACTCCATTTTGTTGAGGGGTTTAGGTGCTGAAAAATTATGGCTAATACCATTAGAATTACAAAACTCAGTAAATCCAAGATTTTCAAATTCAGTGCCATGATCACTTCTAACACTAGTGATAGAGTAACCTTTTTCGTTTTGGATTATTTTTGAAAAAGTGATAAAATGTTCAAATGCTTCATCTTTAGTACATAAAAATAGAACCCAAGTATATCTAGAATAGTCATCTACCAAGACATATGCATATTGTTTTCCACCCAAGCTAGTAGTCCTAGTTGGCCCAAAAAGATCTATATGGATCAATTGTAATACTCTACTAGTTGATACATCATTAATGGATTTAAAAGAAATTTGCTTTTGTTTTCCTTTAGCACAAGCATCACATATTTTATTATTAACAAATTTTAGTTTTGGCAACCCTCGAACTAAATCTCCTTGACTTAACTGTTGCAAAACACTCATATTAGCATGTCCTAGTCTCCTATGCCATAACCAACTATCATGCTCATCCTTAGCAACTAGGCATAAATTAGTCATATCTATGGAATCTAAATGCACCATGTAAATGTTTCATATTCTATGACCAACAAGCATAATCCGATTAGATGCAATGTTAGTGACTTTACAACCATTAATATCAAACATGACATTGAATCCTTTATCGCACAATTGACTAATGCTCAATAGATTATGCTTTAATTCATTCACATATAAAACATTCTTAATTTGTATGGAAGAGGTATTACCTATAGTG